GACGATTGGGTATAAAACCCCCTTTAATTGATTTGCTCTCTTCATACCTAGAAACCTGACACTTTAGGGTCAGGGTTAACTTCACTCTCTCTCAGGCTATGGAATGTCCTAGTGGGGTCCCCCAGGGTTCAATACTAGGACCTCTTCTCTTCTTGATTTATATTAACGATCTTCCTCAACAAGTTTCATCTGACTTATTGCTTTTTGCTGATGATGTGAAACTTTGGAGAGAGATACGTAATCATAATGACATACTAGTTCTGCAGGAGGATCTGACTCGACTTCAAAGTTGGGCAGACGACAACGGACTTACCTTCAACACTTCAAAGTGCAAGGTAGTCCATCTGAGACATGTTGCAGACTATAGATATAACTTAGGTAACTCATCTCTAGAAGTTTCCCAAGTTGAAAAAGACTTAGGAGTGTTGGTACCCTACGACCTGAAATCGTATGCGAACTGTGACAAAAACGCCTCTCAAGCAAACCTTGCACTGGTAACATTGAAGCGCATTTGGCCAGTTTGACGGTAGAACCTTCCATATAATCTTCAACAGTTTTATTCGTCCCCACTTAGAGTACGGAAACATAGTATTTCCTCCCTCCCTCCAAAAGGATAAGGTCACTCTGGAACGTATACAACGTCGAGCCACGAAATCAGTTCGGGGTCTCAAATTCAAACCTTATGAAGAGCGCCTCAAATCACTTAACCTTTACCCGTTAGAGTACAGGCGTCTTAGAGGTGATCTTCTTATGACTTATAGTATCCTTAATACTTCTGATCATCCCCTTAAACAACTTCTTAAGCTTAGTCATAACACTAACCTCAGAGGTAACACCCAGAAATTGGAGACCCTACATAGCAGAACAGACTGCAGACACAACTTCTACTCCGTTAGAGTTGTCAAGTGCTGGAATTCGCTGCCAACTGAGCTAGTTCAAACGACCTCCCAGGAGTCCTTTAAGAGAAAACTTGACTTATTCTTAAGGACTAAGGATAACATATTATTATGATTTACCAAATTCTTTTTTTTCTCCCTCTATTATCGTTCATATACCTAGGTTCTTGCCTGGAGGTATTGGTGATCCACTGCTACCAGACACGGAAGCCCGTTAAGCGAAAGCTTCTTCTATTCCGTTCTCAACCATTTGAACCATTTGAACCATAAATTCATCTACCTCCTGCTTCGTTTGATACGCTACCCTCCGCCACATACTAACCCATACATTTTTTCTTGCTTGAACAAAGTCTATTTAAATCCCAGTTGCCGAGTTCCACGTTCTGATGTGGTCATCCTTACAATTTACAGGTAAGCTTATTCGTGGGGACTTCAACATGCCTGCAGTTTCTTGATCTTCAGCTGAATCGTTGAAACGTTTTGAATCATTTATTGAGTGCTCAGAGCTCGGACAGTAGACTCAGTATGTCTGTAGCCCTACCAGACATCAAAAGAACATGGATTTAGTCCCCACCAATAATATTAACCCCATTGCTTTGTCTACTGAAAAGACGTTTCCAGGTAGTGACCATAATATTATCATCTGCAGTTTTGGCAGAAAAACCACAACCAGTGAACACAAAACTATCACACTTCGTAGAGAATACCTCAACGTCGGTTGGAAAAACTCACGAAACTGCCTAAGAAGCATTGATTGGGAAACTCTTATATCGGAAACAATACAAACAAACTATCTAACTTATTGTATTACGACACTAGTAACATCTCCGCCAAAATCACACCTGTAGGATACTGTGGACCTGGTTTTTCTATAGATCAGTATATACCAGTCCATGTACGAAAACGCCTTCAAAGACATGGCAACCTACTTTAAAACCTTAATGATTTTTTCGCTTTACTTACGGTCAGACAAATATTTATCAAAGCAGAGGCAGTACGTACACAAAAGCAGTCACACAGAAACCTAATAATGGCTCATTCGCACTTATCAAACTACTTCAAAATGGACTTGAATGTTTGGAATGGAGAGACGAAAACATATTTATTAAGGGCAAACAAGTATACGAAAATTCTAAACTTATTATGGGACTATTCAATCAACAATTGTGGCTCATTAACAAATGAAAAACTACCGAGTGAATCAAAGTTTACCCCAGCACCTTCCTGTGCCCTTCATAAAAGGCCTCTATTCAAATTAAAGTTCTTCGGAATCAATAACCATCTATCTTTCTGGTTTGACTTGTTGCTAACGGAAATTAAACAAATGGTAGATTTAAATGATTTTCTCTCATCACCAAAGCAAGTAACTAATGGAATTGTCTACAGAAGTGTATTGGGCCTACTTTTGTTTCTCATATATATGAGTAACATATCTAAAATCATAAAATCTAAAAGGCCATACTTATTCGCTGACTATTTCAAAATAGTATATTGCTTTACACCTGAATGATTTTTTTTTCTGGTTAGCGTTTTTTTAGCGAGTTGATTTTCTACGGGATGGGGTCGCTAACCCCATGCCCAACCCTCCTCCTTTACCCGGGCTTGGGACCGGCAGTAGCCCCTGGAGGAGCTACAGGCGGAGACAGACATGAGAAGAATGAACAAGAACTGGAAAGAACTAGAAAAGAAGGCCCAGGACAGAGTGGGTTGGAGAAAGCTGGTCGGCGGCCTATGCTCCATTGGGAGTAACAGGCGAAAGTAAGTTAGTAAGTTTACACCTGAAGCTTTAAACGAAAGTATATCCCAAAGTGAGCTCACACATCTTGTCTATTCAGAGTGAAAAACGACAGATACAATTTAAAAACAAGAATCAGGTCATGAATTTCGGAAAACATTCCCATGACATATTATTTTATTTGAATAAATTTAAAGTCCAGACGTTCAAATCAATGCATGAGAGAGAATACGCCTACGTAGAATTATGGTCTTGTTTGGTACTAGTGAGTTTATTATTGCTACTAATAATGACAGACCTTATCTCAAAATTGCAGGTTTTTCATGGTGTGACGACCCAATCTTCAAGATCTTACATGGAAAGCACATCGTTGTATACACTGACTCGCTCTGTCGTGAAAATCAACAACATGGCACCTAACGCCTTTGAAGAACACAGTGGGTGATGTTATAACTCGCCTATTTTACTGGAGCATGTAAATGTTACAAAGGCTTGTTAATGAACCATCATTAATGACAGACGGCATTTGTTTGATCTTGCTGAACAATGTCGAATTATGGTCCACTTCATTATTAGCACTAATATAATAATAGACCTAATCCTAAAATTGTAGATGTGTCATGATCAGGCTACCAAATCCATAAGATCTTACGTGAAAGTTACATGATTTTCTACGCTGACTCATTGCATCGTAACAATCACCAATACATGATGGAGAACACATTTAGGCTGAAGATAGAACAACATATTTAATATGGATGAAAGGTATAGGCTACAGAAAAATGATCATGCCTGCATTTCTTAGCCATGCCATCCGATTATTAGAATTTCCAATTAATTCCTCCAGCTCCCTCCATCGTTGGGTTTTCTTCGAGCTGAATGTTGAATATCTATTTTTCCAGATGTCTCATGTCCATCTTTGAGGATTGTGTAGTTGGGGCTCAATGCCACTACATGTTTACGCAGCACAATAGTTTGGTTCACCACACCCAAGTCTTCGTTCACTACAATACTAGCCAAGTGACGTACTTTCTATATTTGTGAGGAAGGCGACTACATACATTACGAACATTGTTTGGCTGTAGTGAAATTGCAGTCGCTTAGTGCTCATATGTTTTCGATGACGAAATAGGGATACTTTAATTCGCAGTTTAGGGTGGGATAATTCAGAATAATTAACACTTAACTGTATCACTATAATCCTTATAAGATTACAAACTGCTGATGACTGTTTATCATTCTGAAACTGACGATCAATCAGATGTCAACAATTTCTAATGTCTTTCGTTGACCGACTGGCAGGCTGATCTTTTTCGGTGTCTCAGTGGTGGTCCATGCATCGCTTAGTTTCACAACTCTGAAAACTAGTCAAGCCGTATCAACATTTGGAGCCAAAGAGACACAAGATCCTTTACGAAGTGTAAATCTCACTTCATATAGAGGAGAAAGTCGTTTGAGGTGTTTAACTGCGCCCAAACCGAGTCTCGGACTACTTCCGGTACCTACAAACCAGGAAAATACAACTATTTAAGGACACCTTATAGAGTTTCACCTGTCTACTGATATAAATTCCACAATAGTGACTATAACGTTTTTATTTGTCACTGCGGAAGGAGAAATTCAAAGCTGATCAATAGATAATCAAGTTTCCTTGCTACCGATCAAAATAAATGAGTTTTCTAGCTACTCCACTACAGCATCTGTTCAGCTGACAGAAATCGTGTTTTAGTTATCATTCTGCAGTTTTCTATGTCTCTTTGACAAAGATTATACCTTAAGGAGGTGGTATCCATACATACAGAATGAGGACTAAAATGTACTATAACCAGCCGACACTGTGCTACCTAGAATACCTAGAGTGGCAGAATGGTATGTATACCTCCTATACATTATCCATTATGCTCAAAATCGAACTACAGCAATCAAAAGACGAATTATCGGTACTACAAGTGTTCTGTCCTCTTGGTAAGAGGTCACTAATATTAATGATTCAAAGTCAGCCCTGTTTTATAATTTCCTACTCAAACCATAACTGACTGAGGAATATTTAATTCCAAATCTTGTCATCACTAAAAGCTTCCGAAACTTGGTAGTCTCAATCGTTTCGACGGTACCTATTATGCTGTTACCTATTAAGGCTGAATAAATACAAACCTCAGTCCCATGAAGTCTGTCAAAAGTTGCTGGCAATATTTTGCATCCAAAACTAGAAGCAAGCAACGTTTCCGGAAACCTTTTGTCAACAGACAGTCAAACTACGACTTTCATTTCTGAAAGATTTGGTAATGACCATAATATGTGCGCTTTACGTTGATAATAGTTCTGTATCCGATATTTGAAAATTCCTCTCCTTATTAGTAATAATTCAAGCGTATTCTCTGCAGATTTAAATCCAGTTTTTCTATCACTATTAGCACCCTGACGAATTCTTGATATGCATAGACCCCTATCCTGAATCCTCGAATTAGAGAAGGGTACGAATTAAAAAGTAGCAAACATCAATAGAAGCTGAGCCTGAACTCGAGAAATTGAAAGTACACTACTTTGGCCTAATACACAGGCGCCTAAGTACTGTTCAGCGTTACCTCATGTAGATGTAGCATTAGTTGTGAGTATTTTGCAAACTGTGGTTGTGATCTTGTTTACTACCAAAATAGTTCGCGGCTTGTTTTGTGTTTATGAATTCTAATCTTCTACATCATAAAAGTTGGTTTCTCAAGCTGTTTTAAAAGGGGAATTATTGAAACAAATTTGTTCAAGGAACATTTGTTCTGGCATTGCATTTTAGTCGCTCACCACTTGATACAAAAAGCCAAATCTCACACTGAATTCCTAAAGAAAGTCTTTCTGTGACTTGCTCGTAAATGACCAACCATGATGAGAGTAAAAAAGATAAGCACTTCTAAACTGCTTAACCAGTTCGTCTAAATCAGCTTGGGGCTCCTAGCTGTCGATGTCACTACGTATTGACTCTCAAATGTAGTTTATATGCGAATGGGGGTATGGAACAGTCTGACTACGTTTGGTAATTTGTTTGCACATTGTAAGAATAGCAGGCGACTTAATATAGTACGTTGTGCTACTCATTCGTGCTACAAACTTTCATCTGCATAGCATACAGTTTACCCCCAATCTCTGTGTTTGCCCGCAAAAGAAGTTTCGTATTTGACATTGTGATTTTTCCGAAGTTAGAAGGCTACTACATATGTCCTAAATGAATCACTATCGAATGTCTTAATGACTTCTGTGAATATTACATGTAGATCGCTATCTTACACTAATGTCTAGTTCTTTCGTGATGAAGTTAACTAGGCAGTAATATCTTTCGAAACTCGTGTTGGTTTTGAGTTGGTTAATTTTATGATTCGTTTACAGGAAGCCCACTGCCGACATCGAATATGACAAACGTCTGCTGGAAGGATTAACTCGCTCTACGCGTCTTGGATTCTCTCATATCCTGATTCTAGGGGATTTCAATCTCCCTAGAATCAACTTCGTGGAACATACATACATTGGTGGTGCCAACTCTACTGAAGCTCTGTTCTTCAACCTTATCGGCGACCTGGGATTATTTGAAAATGTGAAGTCGGCAACCCGTTGGAGAAACAGTCAGACGCCGTCACGCTTAGACTGGGTATTCACAAACGAAGAATTCCTAGTTGACGACCTCTCAATCCTGGCTCCCCTGGGCAAAAGTGATCACGCCGTCTTATCATTCAGCTTTATCAGCAAGACGGAGCTACGATATCCTACTAGCAACAAGCGCTGGAACTTCAAACGGTTGAACGTGTTAGCTTTACAGGACTATCTTCAACAGGTGGATTGGGATGTTCGCCCTGAAATTGAAGTGGATGCTCATTTGGATTTTTTACTGCACACGATTTTATGTGCTACTGAGCATTCAGTTCCTAAAATGGTCCTAAAAAGCTACAAGCAACCTGCAATCATCAAGAACCGCACTCGTCGTTTGTTAAGCCGCAAAAGGCATTGTTGGGCTGAATATAAACGAACGGATAACTACGGCGCGTACAGGCAATACAAACATATAAGGAACACATGCACAAAGGCAATAAGAGAAGACAGGCTGCAGTTCCAGACCAAGCTTATCGATAGATTCGTCTCCAATCCGAAAAGCTTGTTCAGTTATGCAGCTTCTCTTCGACAAGGCAAAACTGGAGTTTCCCAACTGCTTGGTCCTAATGGCCCGACCAACAACGACAGTGATGCCGCTAACCTTTTGGCTGAACAATACTCCCGGACATTCCAACTGACCCACATCAACCATACTGACGAAAGCTTCACCTGCACCTGTACAGGACTTTCCGAAGTGGACCTGAGTGCTGACTTGGTGCTCCGTAAACTGCAGAACCTAAAGAAAGACACTTCTCCTGGTCCGGACATGGTTCATTCCGCCGTATTGAGGGAAGCAGCTTCAATCCTGGCGACACCACTTAGCGTGATGTTTGCACACTCGCTAAGCAGAGGCAAACTACCGGAAATATGGAAGCTGGCCCACATCACACCAATTTTCAAAGGAGGTCGACGCAGTGAACCCTCAAGCTACCGACCAGTGGCCCTTCTCTCCATACCTTCAAAAATTATGGAATCCCTAGTATTCGACGGCATACTAAAACACTTATCATCCTCAAAGTTCTTCTCGCCTCAACAGCATGGTTTCAGAAAAGGTCATTCTTGTATGACCAACCTGCTGACTGCGGTGGATAGATGGACAACCGTCCTTGATCGCAAGGGGAAGGTTGACGTCATTTACCTGGACTTCTCAAAAGCTTTTGATAGGGTCAACCATGCATGTCTTATCAAGAAGCTTGGACGATTGGGTATAAAACCCCCTTTAATTGACTGGATCACTTCATACCTAGAAAACCGACACTTTAGGGTCAGGGTTAACTTCACTCTCTCTCAGGCTATGGAATGTCCTAGTGGGGTCCCCCAGGGTTCAATACTAGGACCTCTTCTCTTCTTGATTTATATTAACGATCTTCCTCAACAAGTTTCATCTGATTTATTGCTTTTTGCTGATGATGTGAAACTTTGGAGAGAGATACGTAATCATAATGACATACTAGTTCTGCAGGAGGATCTGACTCGACTTCAAAGTTGGGCAGACGACAACGGACTTACCTTCAACACTTCAAAGTGTAAGGTAGTCCATCTGAGACATGTTGCAGACTATAGTTATAACTTAGGTAACTCCCCTCTAGAAGTTTCCCGAGTTGAAAAAGATTTAGGAGTGTTGGTACCCTACGACCTGAAATCATACGCGAACTGTGACAAAAACGCCTCTCAAGCAAACCTTGCACTGGTAACATTGAAGCGCATTTTTGGCCAGTTTGACGGTAGAACCTTCCACATAATCTTCAACAGTTTTATTCGTCCCCACTTAGAGTACGGAAACATAGTATTTCCTCCCTCCCTCCAAAAGGATAAGGTCACTCTGGAACGTATACAACGTCGAGCCACGAAATCAGTTCGGGGTCTCAAATTCAAACCTTATGAAGAGCGCCTCAAATCACTTAACCTTTACCCGTTAGAGTATAGGCGTCTTAGAGGTGATCTTCTTATGACTTATAGTATCCTTAATACTTCTGGTCATCCCCTTAAACACCTTCTTAAGCTTAGTCATAACACTAACCTCAGAGGTAACACCCAGAAATTGGAGACCCTACATAGCAGAACAGACTGCAGACACAACTTCTACTCCGTTAGAGTTGTCAAGTGCTGGAATTCGCTGCCAACTGAGCTAGTCCAAGCGACCTCCCAGGAGTCCTTTAAGAGAAAACTTGACTTATTCTTAAGGACTAAGGATAACATATTATTATGATTTACCAAATTCTTTTTTTTCTCCCTCTATTATCGTTCATATACCTAGGTTCTTGCCTGGAGGTATTGGTGATCCACTGCTACCAGACACGGAAGCCCGTTAAGCGAAAGCTTCTTCTATTCCGTCCTCAACCATTTGAACCATTTGAACGTGACTAACATGTCCCAAATTATTTTCACTGATATTTTAGTTTCTAGGGTTGTTAGAAATGAGTCAGAGCTAGCGACAATACCCTTCAAATGTCTTAAGGATTGGGTTCTAGAATAAGACATGTAGTAGTAGTATGTCCAGTTTTACCTTATTTCTCTCTAAGTCCTATATCTTCGTACGCTATCCTAATATTTCTCAACTCTGACTTCATTTCTCTTCCCTGCCATGCTAACTGGAGTGAAGAGATCAGCTTAGTAGTGAAAGATTTGTTGATGGCTTCGCTACAGTTGATTGCATATCGATCGCAATGTTCCGAATGTATGAACTGCGTATTTATCACTTAACACAAATCATAATAAGAATGCACTAAAGGTCCATAGGTGGAGTTTATACTGAACATTTTAATGTGACGGAAGTTCATCCTAATCGGTATTGAATTCCTTTCTTTTAATTAGTATTTGGGGACTGCACATCGACACCAGTGCTTTCCATACCTTTCATTAGTCTCCACTTTTTTTCGCTTTGAGTTACATTTCTTATGTCTTAATTTCTGTTATTTTTAATTTTCTTTTTACTTCGTCTTGTGGTGTGCCTTAAATCTGTTGTTTCATTCCACTGTTTAGTTGAGAAACAATACTGAATTGACAGGGATTCGTGAATTTCCCATAACAATAATGATGAAATAACTAACTTGTTCGGTAGGTAATCCTGGTTAAGTGGTCTACTGAAGTTTTCTGTTTTTGTGTTTAATAATTTAACTGTTCTGACTGATCAAATTGGACAAACAACCGTAACTTCAGCATTTCCAGAAAGTTTTACCCCTATTTTATGTAGTGCTCTCAAAATTGATGGTTATGTATATATGCATTGTATGAATAAGCTGTTTTATATTTCTAATAGTCTTCAGTTAGATTGTCTCCACATATTTTATCAACGAAAAAAGTTCCACTGACATTCATCCCCAATCTTAGCTTTAATTTTAAGTATATGCCTTGATTATCACCCATTTGTTGACCTGTTTTTGTACATTTTCTTTATTGTTATTTGCAACTTCACCTCGTTTTCCTTTCTTATGATTTCATCTTCAACATATAAAAAGTGAACTTTCTTATAGTCATGTTAATTATGTTGCCCCTTCTTGTCTCTTGTTTCGTTCCGAACCAAACTTTATTGATGATAGTACGTAGTAAAGGAATTTTTTAATGATAATATTACTGGTGCAAATTTAGTCTGTTTGTAGCTGATGAGAAGCTTTGGAGTATAATGAATTCATTTTATTCTGCAAATCTAGTTCCCGCTTTATTTATTCTTTATTTTCATCAAAAATCAGTTTTGTTGACCTTTAGGTTTTTCCTTCAAATTAATGTTGTAAATCTGAAGTTTTAAGTGGAAATACGTCACACTTATTTGTTTTTTTAATAGTAAGTGTATGATTTCCAACATTTTTTCCTAAACTTAATCATTATTTTTGGCCTGTTTGTCACTGTTTTACAGTTCTGCACATTTTAAGTATGGAGGCCGATGAATATAATGGAAAGACTGTACTTGTTATTAACCATACACACATGGTTAGCTGTTTCTCTGGAGACGAATTAAACTTGGATGCAGGAGTTAAATTTGTAAACACAAAAATGACATTTCAAAAGTCAATTTGGAGCAACCTTGTTGAGGCCGTCATACAGTACTGTCGTGTTGTATTTGATATATTTTCTACCGAAAAACCTGTAAGTCTCTATAGATAAAGTATTGATTGATCAAGATATCCATAGTAACCTTTGATGATGAGGAAAAGATTCACTCTATATGGCTAAATGAAGATCAAAATTTGGACACAGTAAGTACATTTAACCTTAATTCACAATATAATAAGATATGGAACATATTTTCACAGGAAGGTCCGCCGAAAATCTCTTCGCTCAGTTTTCTTGAACGTGGTTCTCTTCCAGGTTTGTCTTCAGCCTGTCATCTCTTACAAATGCTAACACCACGTCAGAAGGAGATTAATTCTGATGAGAACAAAGGCAGAGTAGTTGTCTTAAGCATGTCTATGGGGTAATAGCTTTATTAGTTAAATTATGATTTCATAATAGTAATAAAGTTTCTTCTTGGATTCCGGATATTTTATCGTATTTAGAGAAGCCTATCGACACACTCGAGTAAGTTTCTATACTATTTGTTTTATGTGAATACCGTTCTATTTCGTACAAATCAAATAAGATTTGTGTGGCGCATATATATCTGGTGCCCCTTTGTACCAATATTTACATGTTTAAATAAATAAATAGTGGATAGAATCAGATAGCTTAAAAGCGTACACAGGAGTACATCAGTCTAATTTGCCATCATGCAACGGCACATGTAGGAAAGACAAAGAGACGTGTTATAACGTTAAAAAGTAGATACATCAAGGATTGAAAGTGAAAACAATTTGTTGCTTACCTTATTTTTTTTCGAATAACATGTCGAGGAAGTGTATGTACCAACTAACAGCCATCTAAATGTTCGGTTACCAACTTTCAATTTTTTTTCTGGGAATTTGTAATCAGTGTCAGCATTATTCATTAGGTGGTCTCACCACATATAAGTAATGTTCCGAAGACATAAAATCACGCATTTTTTCTATCGTTAGCAGTTGTATTTCATCGCTGCATTATAGGACGCCGTTAGTTACTAAAATTACCGTCGTCCATTAATTAGCAGCCAGTTATTTTACCATTAGTAGTATAGGTCGTTAGCTGTCAGATCAGTTTCATTTCTCTGTCGAGATTTTGTTGGCAGCCCTTCCACTAAAAATGACGCAACTTCACTGCAAGATTTCAAACTTTGTGCAAATCATTTATGAACAATCTTCATACATTTGAAAAGTCCTAAATCCATGTAAAATATTCAGCTTTTTCATAGTTTCAGTGCTTCACCCGACAGAACTGTTTTCTTCCTGAACTGAGTTCGCCCGGAAAATTCGAGGCACTTAACCAGTCTGAAAAAGCTTATTGTTAAGTGGAGTCACATGTGTCAGTCAAACATGACTGAGGATGTAAGAGATACTTATCATGTTACAATTGTTTGAATATCAGATGACAATTATCTAATAGCACTTCATTTACTTAGTAAGTTTATATTAACTACATTTGTATTCGACTAATACTCAGATTCTCGAACGATGACCTTAACTGTCACTCCCAAGGCAAATAGCTTGGTCAGCGTAGAGTTACAGTAATATATATGTACTGCACTAATGAATGAATGTTTGGAACGCAATTACAGTCATTTCGTTTCTTTGAAATGAAAATAACTCACGGTATTAGAATATTCGTGAACTAGCACTTTTGTCCTTTAACATTTATGACGGAATTACTGGTCACAGTCAAACTGTAAGAACCAGGAAAAATGTACATTAGTCGAGGCTACCACACCATCAGCTCAGAGAATTGACATTGACAAGATAAATAGCAATGGAGTGACAGTATCAATCATAGCAATCAAAGATCAGATGTATAGAATATGGCTTAAAAAGAATGGGTGAATTAGTGCAATAAAGTTGTTGAATAGTATTAAAACTACTGTCTGGAGGAATGTAAAGAATGAATGCATTTGCTCCATTGCAACGATTTTTTAGCCATGTCACCTTTTTTCTCTAAATATTGGTCACAATAATTAAGGAGGTCAATCAGGTAGTTTTCATCTACTAAAATGAATCAGACCAACAGCTAATGACTTTATGAACTAATACCACGTCTTGTTTTGGTCGCACCTAGTTTTATTCCAAACTTCTATTGTACCACTCGGGATTAAAATTTGATACTGGTAATATACCAGGTGCAGATGTATGTACTTACTTGTAAGCTACACTGTTTAAGGGTTAGTGATGTTATCTTGATGGAAGTAGGTACATCGAAATTCGGACCAAGAGTATCGATTTCTTTTGCCAATAAACCGCTATTCCACATCAAATTATCAAGCAGCTAGAAACTTTAGTTTTTTTAATGGTTTCCATTTCTTATTTATTTATTTATTTATTTATACACATAAATATTGGTACAAGGAAGCACCAGATACATATGCGCCGCACAAATCTCATTTGATTTGTGTGAGGGCTGTGATACTGCTCAGGTGCCCAAACCGAAACAGGTGGTTTTCCTAGGGGGAGATGCAGTTCCATGGTAACCTGTGACCAACAATAGGTTCATACGCCATTCGTTCCATCAGGATCTTGGAGCCCATGTGCACCATTGGTTTGGAATCCGGGTTTTCCAACTGCCCTAGGTGGATGCGCCATGTCCACCAACCCGGTTAAAGCGCCGGACATTCGCTTTTCTTCCTCTCACTTTTGTGAACAACACCCCCGTCACGAGAATGCAGCGAGTAGGACTTCCCTGGTAGAGGCTGTATACGCTTGGCCATGTGAGAGCATTTGAAGAGGGAGAGCGGACTCTCCCCACTCTCCGCCGTACCAGGGTATTTTGGGGGCTTTCATTTCTTAGGATAAGAATACATTCGAACGATGTCTTACTTTTTATTGATTCTGCAAACAAAATATTTCTTTAACCTAGATCACTTTATTCTTGTTGATTTTTTATAGTCATATGGATGTTACTTCAAGTGAATGGGTTTTTGTCGATCTGTTTCCAGCTTCTGAATTTTCAGCGGATGTAAATGAACTATACCCTGAGCAATTAGAGGTTTGTTTATCATTGTGTCATAAGAAGTTTTATAGAAATAAATGCAAGTTATAAGGAAATAAAAAGTTTAGGTAGTAATAGGGAGAAATTTTGGCGAGATGCCGTGACCTGTAAACCCAGCCGTCCAAAATAAAATAGTAACTCATCAGTGACTTTAAATATAAGTCATCCTTAATCAAGAATGAATTTAAATTAGAAATGTAAACCATCTGTTTCCTATTCAATGGTTTACAGGCACTATACTCGCCACTAGACTAGAAGTTCTTACATTTGATACCGTACGGGTTTGTGAGTGTTAATGTATAGTACTCAGTGTTTTTTAATAATACTCCAACTAACGTCAACTGATAATAAACATTATCTTCAAAATGCGCAGAAATTTCCGGAGATCATTTATCTTGGTGGTGGGGTGATAGTTTTCAATGTATACTTATCATTTTTAAATAAATATTTCCCCATAATGACCAATGATGCAGTTCCAAAGCATCCGTTTTTCAACGGACACTGATCTGTTCAGTACTAGATATCAAATACGGGGAAGTACAAACAAAATACTATAAAATACTATAAGCAGAAAGTAAGACTTGCAATAAACATATTCTCTTTATCAAATGAATCAATCTTTAGTATAAAATTAAGTGGAGAAACTGAATTAATCAAAACTACTTTTCTGAATAAGCAAACAATTCCATAAGTTACTCTTAAACAGATAGTTACATCTAAGAAAATCGTCTAAGGTCTAGTATCATCATATCATCGAGTCAGTTTTGAATATACTTCAAAATTCATGTTCTTAGTTATTCAGAAGAATACCAAACTTGATCTTTTCTGAAATTTAATCTTATCTATAATTATTACTTTCGTCCATTGAAAAAAAATCGAAAACAAGTAATTGGTTACGGTTTCTCTATTAGATAAAATTGTTATTGTTTTCTTAGCTATTTTCGGCTTGCTAATATACTTATAAAGTTATTTGTACAATTAAATACATAGTATTTAATAAAAAAAATTATTGAGATCATGAGTCAATTGAAGCTAGGCCACCATGTAAAACCTGGAAGCACTGGACGGCCGTTTCGTCCTATTATGGGACTCCTCAACAGTGTGCATCCACGATCCTGCCTCGCAAGATTCGATTCATGATCTCAACTCCATAAAATTACTAAAATCTCCACAAAACCCCCTTCTGAAAAAAAAATTCTTACACACAATACTACAAAAACATAGATTCCAGCATATATTTGACATAGAAATAGTGATTTCGAAGAAAATATTTGGTTAAATGCATATATTCAAGTAAATTTTTCATCAGTTTCTAGTTTCTGTTCTATGTCTGCTTATGCAACAAAAAAATAACTCTACCATTAGTCACCAGTGACTTTAATCGTAAGCGACATTGTAAAGTGTCTCAAGTTATTCTGAGTTTTATGATCGCTTAATCTTTAGCTAGTTCGTTATAAGAGATACTTCAAACAACCATCCTTCATTTCATGTATCATATATCAAATTGTTAAGCTTTGTTTAAGTTTTTAAAGCTTATCTTAGTATATTTGTACTTTGGTAATTGATAGTAATCTTTAACTGACTAACCAATTTTTCCTTCAATTTTTCTGAAGCTGATATGGATTCCTGGTGAAAATTACTTGTAAGATATAAATGTATCTCTACAAAACTACATTAATAATATCTAATTGTATGTTTACTAGTAATGTCTAGCTAGAAGTTGTAATATACGAGGTGAGATATAAACTGACTAGTGAATTTTGATAATACGGATGGAGTTATATCAAAAATTGACTGAATTTGAAAATATGAAGCTTGTAGTTTCAGCCTACTAGTTTAAAGGCATCATACTCACAGCCAGCATCGAATATCGTGTGTCCGATCCCATGTAGAGTTGTGGGCGTGTACTTTTGACGAGTTACAGACTAAATTTTTCTCTGTTTTCAGGGGTTCTTCAGTTGACACCTTTTGGTGATGAAAATAACTCTCAAATTGTATAATATTTATTATAACTAGTGATAGTATGTGGTGTGTAGTAGTGCGCTTTGAATTCTATACTTTATGCTCAATGTGTAGTTTGCTGCATCAAAGTGACTTGTGTTATTCTTTTTAGATTTATATCAGTTGTATCTGATCACGACACAGAATACAGATTTAATCTACATTGAATTGCGACGGTTTGATGATTTTTATGTTAGGTGAGATTTATGATTTTGGTTTCCATAGTTTGATTGAAGTAATTTTGGTTATTTTTAATATTTATTTTATCCACTTCATTTTTAGCTACCTAATAATATAGACCCGAATGTCCGACATCGCTTTTTCTATCATAAACTTCCAGCTACCAGCCAAGAGTTGTATCAGGGTTTAATGCGTCTTGCAGAATGTCATTACAATCTTTCAAGTACACTTGTTCAAGATATTCCCATGAAGGAGGAAGCCAATGTTAATTCTGGTAGTTCAATGTATGGTGTCGAAATTCTACATCGAGCTGAAGTGCACGACATGTTAAAATGTCGGGGTATTTACGAGAAATTATTAGTACGTACAGATAGTGTAAATAATAAGTCCATATCACGACCACACTCCGGATTTTCGAAAACTTTGGGCATAAAATGGGTCACGCCGAAGACCTCAGATGCTAGTAAGTGAAGTGGTTTTATTTCATAACTTTATAAACTATGTACGGTGATATTTTTCTCCTTATGTTTTTTATTCAGTGAAATAAATAGTGTGTAATATTACTCATTTCTTATATCACACAAGCTAGTGTTGTTTTGTCACAGTCTTACCCAGACTTTAGAACGAGACAATTCTTTTGTTTCGTCTCAAGTCATTCAAATTTAAGATAACTTAGATGACAAGCTATACACGCTACATACACTAGGGTTCCGTCACAGACTCACCTCAAATAATATAGTATAGACTAAGTGGGTGTTATAAACGTATGTATGCCGTCGCCAATTGTTATAAACGTAGAGAGAGAGAGGATGCTGGTTATAACTTTAGGGGTTTCTGGTTATAACAGTCCTTTTACTTCTTACACGTATGTGGGACGTTAATTTATCTTAGACGAATATCTACACTAGATTCCCACCCAGTGTCTATTCTACAGGACTTCAACAGAACTCAGATCAAGAACACCAGATTAGCCTGACTATAACGTCAATATATTTCACACCAAAATCCGACACATGGAACAGTCAATAAGTTCATACATAATAAGGATAGGGAAATATATATATTAATTATCAGAGGGGGTTTTGTGGAGATTTAGTATTTTTCATAGTTTTAAAGCATGAGTCAATTGAAGCTAGACCACCATGGAAAACCTGGAAACACTGGACGGCCGTTTCGTCCTATCATGGGACTCCTCAGCAGTGCGCATCCACGAACCCGCTCGCGCGAGATTCGAACCCAGGACCTACCAGTTTCGAGCCGAAGCCCTTAACCGATAGACCACTGAGCTGGCATCCAACGGTGTTAATATCAGCTCAGTGGTCTATCGGTTAAGGGCTTCGGCTCGAAACTGGTAGGTCCTGGGTTCGAATCTCGCGCGAGCGGGTTCGTGGATGCGCACTGCTGAGGAGTCCCATGATAGGACGAAACGGCCGTCCAGTGTTTCCAGGTTTTCCATGGTGGTCTAGCTTCAATTGACTCATGCTTTAAAACTATGAAAAATACTAAATCTCCACAAAACCCCCTCTGATAATTAATATAATCATATGCTCACCAGTGACTTCGAGAAGTATAACTAGGAGCTCTAGTGAGAAGCAGTGACCAGTGGAGTTCAAAACCACGTCTGTTGTGAGATAGGAACTCACTGAAGACAATTGGTGAATGGTTGCTCAACTTCGTGGATCAGTTGAAGTTAGACATTAACACCGTTGGATGCCAGCTCAGTGGTCTATCGGTTAAGGGCTTCGGCTCGAAACTGGTAGGTCCTGGGTTCGAATCTCGCGCGAGCGGATTCGTGGATGCGCACTGCTGAGGAGTCCCATGATAGGACGAAACGGCCGTCCAGTGTTTCCAGGTTTTCCATGGTGGTCTAGCTTCAATTGACTCATGCTTTAAAACTATGAAAAATATATATATAACACATAACACCTGTCATCCCCTCTAATGTCTGACTCATCGAGACAACCAATCATTGACATTCTCGCCCACACATCACCTCCCTCGCGAAGTTCGATCGTATGATTTCACTTTGGAGTCTATTTGAAAAAATTTCGTTTGTTTCCGTTTCCTGAATGACCTTCGTCTAACTTCTGATTCTAGATCATTTTTTCTCATTTCAACTTGTGGTGGTGGTGGTGGAATATCAAACGTATCACATAAAACTTCCATTGGTAATGGTTTGAGTTTAGATGACTCATAAACACATTTTCTATCTCGCAGTTGATTTACATGTCTAATAATTAGTGTATTTTCGACCATCACTTCATATAATACTGTACCACGTCGTTTTTTTATAAACCCAAATATCCATTTTGGCTTGCCAGGCCGGAAATCCCGTGCATAGACTGAGTCACCTACTTTGAATTCTCGAATTTTCAGGCAATTCCCTTTCTTTCACTTAGTATTGTTTGTTTGGATCTTCCCATCGGTGTGTTTAGGACTGCAACTGGTCAGTCTCTAATTGGCATATGTGCATACTGTGCGTATTGCCTCGATATCCCTTTCTTATTTTTTTGTAGTCCACTTATTCTGTCTTTCGGGTTCAAAACATCAAAAAATGTTCTAATCGGTCGGCCAAACATTATTTCGGCTGGAGATTTCCCATCTTGACAGTTTGGACTTGGCGTAATTCTATAGGAAATGAGAAATTGTTGCAGAGCCTCTTCTACATTGCCTTCTCCTCCCATCTTTAAGAGAGCTCGTTTAAGAATATCAACAAATTTCTCTGCCTGCCCGTTCGACTTAGGGTGATACGGTGGAGTTCTAACGTGCTCGATTCCATTCTGTTTACAGAACTCCGCAAACTCTAACGACGTGAACTGCGTCCCGTTATCTGAAACCAAAACATTAGGTGTACCAAACCTACCAAATAATTGTCTCAGATGTAGCAATGTTTCAGACGTAGATGGTCTTCGTACCACATAAATTTCAGGCCATTTTGAGTATGAATCAACCACCACCAAAAAATATTGTCCACTTATTGGTCCAGCATAATCAACATGTAGTCGGATCCAAGGTTTTTTCGTTTCTGGCCATGACTGGGATTCTGCTTTCGGCACATTCAACGGTAAATCCCACAAACCAAATTTATCAATCCAATCAATACCTAATAGATTGGTATGACAGTTCCCGGATACGTAACATTTCCCGGTCATAGTCTTTTCACCAAACGTGAGAGGTAGCTGTATTACTCCAAGAAGAGTAATATTAGTTCCTGACGCACTCTTAGCATTATGACATGTAGGTTGATATCGGGGTCGACTAATTTTAATCCAAGTTTCTCTAGAAATTAATGTTATGTCAGACCCAGTATCGACTTGTAGTTTGACCGGTTTGCCATCGAAAAAAATGGTTACATACTTCCTTTTAGAGGAGAAATGCTCACTTTTTGTAGCCAGAACAACATTTGAGTTATGCGGCATTACTTTTGAAGTATGTATCTTATTTCCTTTACGGGACTTATGCTGACGGTCAGAAACCTTTGGTTTACTTTTACAACATACTTGAGCATGACCATATTTACCACATTGAAAGCATAATCGTTTTTTTAAGTAACAAGCATTGGCAGAATGAGACTTACCACATCGCCAGCAAGACGTTTTGTGTTTCGCTTGATTTGGGATTTTCTGGGAGTTCGAATCTTTATTTCCATTAAAAGATTTACCTAAAGCTTTGACTCCAAAGTGTTCACTGTTCCTTTCTACGAGATTCGTGTCATGCTTCAAATTAATCATTCTTTGACACTCTTCAGATACTGATTGTAGACTGATATTAGGATCTTGTTCGATTCTCATTAGAATCCGTGCTCTAATATCTGCATCTACTGGAGATTGTAATCCACATACAAAAATAAGACACTTGAACTGATCTGAGGACATTTCCTGTAGTTGGAACCGCTCACATTCCCGGTTCACGATACTTGCATACGTTGCGTAATCGTCCTGTACTTTCTTTACAAGTTGAAGACACTGGTATCTAGTGTGAAAAATTGATGACCGTTCACCAAATATACGAGTCAGGCATTCAACTGTTTCTTTGAACGTTATGTCGGATGGCTTCTTTGGGAGGATAAAATTACAGAATTTTTCATGTTCGGACACTCCGAGCTTTCGTAATAATAATCTCAATTTCGAACTTTCGTCCCACTCTTTACATTCATTAATAAATAAATCCTCATGGCGTTTAAACCACGCCTCAAAAGTAACTCCACTTTCTGGATCAAATCTGAATTCAGTTATTAAATTTGCAATAGAATCCGGAGTCATAGTGGAATTAGACACATCAGTTCTTGAGGATATCGACATATTTTTGACTAATAATTCGATAAGAGTATTTTGCTGTTGCAATAAGGTTTTCAGATCATCCATTTTCTTGATACAAAATTCACTTTAACTGAATACGTAAGCGTAGATCCGTTTTAATCACCGTCGCCAATGTTATAAACGTAAAGATGCCGTCGCCAATTGTTATAAACGTAGAGAGAGAGAGGATGCTGGTTATAACTTTAGGGGTTTCTGGTTATAACAGTCCTTTTACTTCTTACACGTATGTGGGACGTTAATTTATCTTAGACGAATATCTACACTAGATTCCCACCCAGTGTCTATTCTACAGGACTTCAACAGAACTCAGATCAAGAACACCAGATTAGCCTGACTATAACGTCAATATATTTCACACCAAAATCCGACACATGGAACAGTCAATAAGTTCATACATAATAAGGATAGGGAAATATATATATAACACATAACACCTGTCATCCCCTCGAATGTCTGACTCATCGAGACAACCAATCATTGACATTCTCGCCCACACATCAGTAGGTGATGTATATTTGGAAAGAGTATGCATTGATGAAGATAAACACTATATGTTTTTTGACGATGTTGTCTATACGAACAATGAAAGCTTCATGATTAAACCATCTAACTCAGAGTAAACAAGCCCAAAATCCTCCCTTTGAGCTACAAATGTTTTTAACTACGTAACGCTCTTTTTCATAACTTAATATCATTAACTAACTGGTTTGAATTTTTGCAACTGATCAACTCTGCTAGACAATAATTTTAACTATTTCACTTGTATTTCACCTGTATCACGTGCTCACTTAGTTACATTTTCTACAAGTTTGCTTTGCTAATTATTCTACCGTTTTTTTATTGGGTTTCATGACGTCATAATATTTTATTCAAAAGCAATAAAGCATTGTATTTCACGATTATTTCATGTTCTATTCCTGTGTCCATCATAAAAAAATTTTAATGTTATTTTCCTATCATACTTATGGACCAGATTCCACGTCAAATATGGTTGACTGATTTTCTTATCGAGAAATGTATTAATCAACAGACGAGACAGTTATTTTGAGAGACAATTTTATTCTAGCATCAATCTCTTGTTCATCTACTTATATTTAACTATTTAAATGTTAATATTTTTAATTCATGCACATCAAAAGTATCCTTCAAAACTGAGTTTATGTGTTCGTACTTGGTTACTATGTTACATTTGTTTAAAACCAGTTAATTAACTTTACATAGATTAAGCCGATACCATGTTAAATTTCTGATTTCATACTGTATATTTTCTTTTATGTTAGTTCTGTTTTTATCTGTTGCATAATTGTATAACATAACTATCTTCCTGTCAGAAATGAATTAAAGTTGAAGCCTGATGTATGCTTTAACTTTTTGTATTGTTATCACAAAAACTTCGAGTCTAGTTGTACTTGTTTTATAACTTCAAAAAGAACACGTTCTTGAGTTGTGTTAGGGTCTATGTAACTGAACCATTATTACGAAAGCGATCGTGTTGTTTAGCCATATTATTGACTTATTAGCCTACATTGCGTGTAGAATGATTGCTAGTTTTACCAATAACACCGACTAATCAGTAAAGATCGAGACCTTAATGTCTGTTGATCTTCGTGCTCCATCCAACTCAGTGTCCAACCAGAAGGCAAATATGACAGATATGTCTACTCTTTTGTACTTTGTTCGTTCTCTGGTCAAAATCAAACAGTAATATACCTTAAACACCTGACCACACAGCACACAAATAACAAATTGCAATATATACCCAATTCAATCATACATGATAGAAAAACGGAGTCATAGGGAAATAATTAATTAGCGATAATTCTCGAACGATGAGACATGTAATAATAGTTTATGATCCGAACAAAAGCTTTTATATAGAAGAGTATGAAACTTTAAAAGTTCAAGGGCATATAATTGTACAATCAAAGCATAAATAATAATTTTCTGCAGGATAGTTGTGAAAGTTTAGTCTTTCTTAAATATTTATTCAGTATAATTGTACTCAATTACTAGTGCCTGCGAATGCCCTGGTACGGCTGGGGGTGAGGAGAATCCGCTCTTCCTCTCCAAATGCTCTCACATGGCCACGCGCAAATACCTACTGCCAGGGAAGTCCTACTCACTACCTTCTAGAGGCGAGGTTGTTGTTTGCGAAACTGAGAGGACGAAAAGAGAATGTCCGGAGCTTTAACCGGGTTGGCGGACACAGAAAGTCCACCTAGGGGAGTTGGAAAACCCTGATTCCAAACCAATGGTGCACGTGAGCTCCATTATCCTAAGGAAACAAATGACGTATAAACTAATTGTTGGTCATCGGCTACCATTGAACTACATCTCCTTACGTTGCTCCACTGCCTTATGGATCAGACCTTTAGGTCCAAGGCTCAAGGTTTGACCCCCTTAGAAAACCATCTGCTTCGATGTGGGCACCTGTTCAGTATCACAGCCCACACATAAATCAAGTGACTTGTGTGACGCATATGTATTCGGTGCCCCTCTGTACCAATATTTATATGTTCAAATAAATAAATAATAAAATATATTACTAGTACAAAATTGAGTAGTCTGATAGCTAGGAAGTAATGGATTGATAGTGGTGATCAATGTCGGTGTTTTTAATCTAAATAAAGTCCAGCTTTTGTTTTTATCTCTCTGTAGGGCTTACCATTTAATAATGACATTGTTTTTAGAATAATTATGGTTATTTTTGTGACGAGTATATCCTAGTCAACAGTAAAGTTTATTTAGTGATTGAGGGAATTGATTATAGTACGAACAAAATATGCAGTGGATACTTTTATTTGGGTGTTATACCAAAACAATCAATCTTTACCGTTAGTTTCACTCCATCTATTTCGATGCTTTAGACATACACTGTCAGTAATTATCATACGAAATAGTGTGCACCAAAGTGAACTGCAAAAAGCTACTAAAATTATGAGTATTAAATTTCTTTTAAGCCACACTTTTTATGTTTCTTTAATCAGTGTTGTTATTGCTAATTCAACTGTTGTTTATTGTCTTGGAAATCGAATCATCGGTTATCTATTGTAACTTAATGTGTATCTTCATGTATTTTCTTCCCATAGATTTCCTGCGCTTTGCTGTTGCTACATACCGAGTAACTTTAGCAGACGTTTGCCACAGAGCATCTACTTGCCTAGCTCAATTTGTTTTAGGAGGTAAATTATTGATTTCTAACTGACTGTGTCTATATCTGTAGTTGATTGGAATGTGGAGATTAATTCATTGTCGTAAAGATTTTCGTAAAATAAATAAATAAAATGTATCTCATTTGCCGACTGCATGTATTATGTAACTGTCTTTGAGCCACATTGTATAATGGACATTGATACTGTGGTGCGCAATACTTATGCGGACAGACATAAGCAGTATGTAGTAGGAATCAGAAGTAGACTACTTGACAGCAGAAGAGTGAAATAAAGAGAAGAAGCAGGAAAACGGATAACAACCGGAATGACAAGAGGGTCGGAAGAATAATGAAGTATGTAAAGGATAACTGAAGGAAGATATGCAAATGATATATTTAATGTATGATTTTTATACTCTACAAAGCTACTGTATGATTTTACATAAAATAACAAATAAGTTTACCGTACCTGAGTTTTTATTCACTACAGTACTACTTAGTTGTCTAAACCGATGTTGTTGGGATGGGGTTCGGACCTGCGACCTACTGGTTCATATTGTTCAAAAGTGAGAACTATGTTTGGTCATTACAAAAAACAAGCTAAAAGATATCACAAAATATCACGTGACTACATCTAAAGTATCACGATGTCCCACCATCAACTGTTTGACTCTCCGTGATGTTGTGGATAAGATCTCTGAACTGTTATATGGAAAGATTCGTGATATTCTGATGGTACACACAAAGAAGATCAAACAATAAAAAAAGGAAGAATTGTTATTAAAAGTGAGATAATGAGTTAAAATATCAAATGAAAATGGGTATATTTATGTTTAGTAGTTTCAATAGTGTGTCACTCACGCCGAATCCTAGAAATGATTGATACTAACACAATCTACTTAATATTAATAAGTAGCACAAGGGGTCCACAAAAACGCAAACAGGCAAATAAATGCTGACCGTTTTTCAAAATTCACTAAAAGACTCGCTTTCAAAACCTCACTTCAAATTATTTGTTTATGGAAATTTGCAATTATAATCTACCTTTTTGCTGCACACTACTTCATAATGTATACAGATTATAGTTATTTATCTAATGTTTTAATTTTTTAATTATTCATCTTACAAACTAAGTTTTTGGTAGTTTCGTTCTCTAAGCTTGGTGGTTAGTTAGAATACTCAAGCATCTGTTGATATGACGAAATTCTACTCGGAGATAAGTGGAAAAACCTATTGGTTAACCAACATATCACTCATTTATATCTATTTAAGTTTGATGAATATCGAATTCGGTTCGAATCTCACGAGAAGAATCAATCCTTTCAAATTATAGGTATATCTTGGCACCGATAGCCTCTTACCACCTAACAAACATCTGTGATTTCTGCCTACAATTATATTCTACAATCTTCCTGGTTTTATATCACACAAACAAACGCAGAGTACTAAGCAGACCACTGCTGTCTAAATGTCACTTGTTCATGAGCAAAACGCTATTCAGACATCTTGTTGACGGGTACTTCCTATTTTCAGCTCACTAAATGCTGGATACACAATGTTAAAAGTATTTTGCACCGCCAAATATTTATGGAGATGTAATAAATGTGTTGCGTATCATATGAGAAAAGAGCAATATGCGTCAGTGCTTAGAGTCCGGTCCGATTGCTTCACCTCAGGCGAATTATAGTTACTGATTGTAAGATCAATAGTAGGATACTTTGTTCATTCCTATTTAAGACAAAAGGTATAGATATTAGCAATGAGACAATATCCTTGTTAAACTGTCATTATGGTATCTAAAAATAGTACTTATGTCATCACATTCAACGCATCAACGCGTTTATTACGTAATTACTCAGTCCGGTCCCTTTAAAGTACCAACTTAACGACTGTAATTTGACTAATTTTAAATATCTTGCGTTTTTTTGGCCATTTGATCCATCTTGTGCATTGATTTTACTGTTTATTATGACATTCTAATTCAAAGAAGAATTGTCTCTATTCTCCAGCAAGTGATGATAGTAGTAAAAACTGCGTACATGTATTATTATTATTATTATTATTATTATTATTATTATTATTATTATTATTATTATTCAAACTTTTCAATCCCTTTATTCATCTCATACAGGTCGGTCTGTTGCGTTGGCTCATCGTCTACAGTTTTCATTTCCAGCGTTACCTAATGATTCTAACTTCTTAACATCTTGCTCAACAGATGAAGCTCTTCTCCTCACCTGTCATGGATCCGTAATGTATATACATGTTTTAGCAACAATTTTCCCAATGACTCATCCTCAGAATATTCCCTTAGCTTCTAATCCTAATATGGCCTTGGGAGATTATCGTATACAAGCCTTCATTGACCAAATCTTACGCCCTTCTCGTCTGGCTCCAGCATCAGCTAGATTAAATTATTCAGTATTTCCCAAAGAACGAGGTAGGGTACAGTCAATTTTTTTTTAATACCACCAGATTTATATTAATTTTAAAGTCAGTAAGTAAGCCTTACCATCAGTCGACTTTAATTTATCTTATAGTTCAAATTAATCAATATATTATTAACAACTTAAGGCATATGAAAGTGGAATTCTATTTATTTGACTTGATTAGCTTCTTCCTTCTCCTCCTCTTTAAATAATATTAGAATAGAACATATGATCTGAATTTGAAATCTCATATACTTAACTGTTAATGTCCTCAATGGACTACTACTTATTTCATGATTGTAAAAATCCTAGAAAAAAACATTTGTTGTTAGCGAAAGTTTTGATTTTCAAATAATAGCGGGTGAGTCATATACAAGTAGAATATCACTTACTTAAATTATAATGATGAACAACCTTGATCAGTCCACGTTTTGCGACCAGAGTGAACTGACTAAGTCGTAGGCATCTAGGTTTCATCATTCAAATAAAATGTAAAATACTTTTAAAATATATGTCATATTGCTTAGGAATCACAATTACCTATATTTTATGTCTTCTCACTTACAAGTGCCTCTAAATACTTCTGGTGTTTCTTATAAATACAAGAATAACTAAGATATACAATTGGTTTTTTAATATTTAAAGTCTTCATTCAGTAAGATGTCACTAATTAGTATTTTTTTTCACTGATCCTCATCAAAAATACCGAGACATGGTACCAATTCATAAAATCATTGATCGTTAGACTGAACCGTATAGAAGTAGGTGCAGAATACTTGATTGGGATCGTTGTGGTTAACATAACCAGTAGTAAGAAACGTTGAGTGAAATGACTACGAATCAGTCAAACTGGCATAAGTGCATTTAATCTTGGTTTTAAAATATCCGTAGCTTAACGCTTGTTTTCACTATTCGAAGCTGGTTTTTGATTATCAGAATAGCAATTAAATAACTATGGATTAAATAATTAGGATTTTGGTCTAGCTTCAATTGACTCATGATTTCAACTGTGAAAATACTAAATTCTCCACAAAACCCCCTCTGATCTATAATCATACGCTCACTAGTGACTGACTTCAAGAGATATTTCCTTGAGTTCTAGTGGGAAGCAGTGGCCAGTGGAGTTCTACGAGGTCTGTTGTAGAGATATCAGCTCACTGAAGACAATTGGTGAACGGTCGCTCAAAATCGTGGATTGGTTGAAGTTAGACATTAATACCGTTATATGCCGGCTCAGTGGTCTATCTGTTAAGGGCTTCGGCTCGAGACTGGTAGGTCCTGGGTTCGAATCTCGCGGGCGCGGGATCGTGGATGCGCGCTGCTGAGGAGTCCCATGATAGGACGAAACGGCCGTTCAGTGCTTCCAGGTTTTCGATGGTGGTCTAGCTTCAATTGACTAATGATTTCAACTGTGAAAATACTAAATTCTCCACAAAACCCCCTCTGAATTAAAATTTTTTCAAAAGTGTGTACGTGTTCTGTAGTAGGAGGAAAAACCTGGTAATTAGAGAGTGGTCAAACTAATAAACATAACGTCAGTCCATAAAATCATTGATCACTGTTTCAAGCTTTCTGGCTAGAATTCATTTGGTGATCATAGTTATAGACTCTAGGCGATGACGTAGTGTTAGATCAATCATAATTGTTCAGATGTTTCCTTTCTTTATTACTATAGTATCACTCTATATCTTCCCATTATATAAATTTGTACTTGTTACTTTTACCTTCCACAATCATTAATTTCATTTACACTTGTTGATTCTCTTTCCTTTGACATTGTGTTGGTATGGAGTGTGAAATGTTGAACAGGTACACATATATATCAGTCCGTACATTGTCTATATTTGTTTACTAATTTTTACTCCACATCTGTACTCATATGCATTTTACTAAGTAGACGGATAGTGAGAAGGTAAGGAATTACTGTCACTGCCCACTTGATAATATCCCTTTTTTCATCCATTATTAACAATATAATTTAATGTTTCGTAATTTATTTTAATGTGTTAAATAATTATTTGATTATTCTTTTATATACTAACTAGCCCAACAACATATTGAACGTCAAACACGGTATTGGCCACTTATGGAATCTCAAACCTTACTGGACAAAACTAAGGTTAGTTAACGAAACTAATATCATCGTTGTGAATTATTCCCACACATTGTCTGGTTATTTTATTTTTATGCTTAAACTTACTGACCATGTTGTTTCGAATTGATAGTATTTGATTATTCCTTGTTCTTTTATGACTACTGACTGGTTAAGCATAAAATCCAGTGTATTATTTTCCAATTTTACCATTTAAAAAGCAGCTTTGTCAGAGAAAGGCATATAATGATAACAAAAATCCTGGATACTAAAGAGCGTAAATGTAAACACAGTGTAAATTCGCGACTAATTCATACGACCGATATGTTTTACAAGGTGTTGTGTATCATTTCTAGGCCTAACCATCCTAACATAATGCTCAAGCGATCCTATATTATGGTATGCAACGACAAAGTATTTGTAACAGACGTATTACTCCATCGATGGGCTTTTACTTATCAGTTGTTTTTCTTTTCTTGTATTGATACTCAACTATAAAGAATCATTGATTAGTTAACATACTTGATTGAGAATGTTTTATCACCAGTCTTGGTAACTTTCTTAGTGTTATGAGACATGTGTAAATGGTGTGAATATTTGCCCATTATTTTACTTATCTTGCTAATAATTCTACACCGAAAATTCTATTTTATTGTAAATATATCATTATGTTTAGTGTTCTTCAAGCTTTAATATTTGATCACGAATGTTTCATGAACACTAGTCTATGAATCTCTCCCTAAAAATCCAAGAGCCCCCAAATGCCCTGGTACGGCCGAAAATGGGAAGAGTCCACTTTCCCTCTCGAAATGCTCTCACATGGCAACGCGTATATAGCCTCTGCCAGAGAAGTTCTACTCACTCCCTTCTCATAACAAAGGTGTTGTTTACGAAATTGATAGGACGAAAAGCAAATGTCCGGCGCTTTAACCGGGTTGGTGGACACGGCGAGTCCACCTAGGGCAGTTGGAAAACCCTGATTCCAAACCAATGGTGCACATGGGCTCCAGGATCCTGATGGAACAAATGACGTATGAATCAATCGTTGGTCACCGGCTATCATGGGACTGCATCTCCTCACGATGCCCCACTACCTTGTGGATCAGACCTTTAGGTCAAAGGCTGTGGGTGTCCCCCCCCCAAGAAAACCACCTGTTTCAGTTTGGGCAGCTGGTCAGTATCACAGCCCTCACACAAATCAAATGAGATTTGTGTGGCGCATATATATCTGGTGCCCCTTTGTACCGATATTTATGTGTTTAAATAAATAAATAAATAAACATCCAAGAAATATAAATCTGCGATACAGTTATTTACGGCATTAATACTGATAAATTCACTAAGTTTATGTGAATGAAACGTTAATGTACAAATAAAAGATCAATAATCATAAAGCAATCATCTTTTCCATTCTAAACTACAAATCTTTAATAACCGACAAAACTGACTAGTTAATACATACAGTAGTAAAACTTCTGTACAAATCATTATTCACATAGTATTTCTAAATATTATAAAAAAATTTAATTAGAATTTCAGTATTATTAAAATTTCATCAATACAGTAGATGTCTTCTAATTGACTTTATATGTTATTTGTTACTATGTCTATGTAATTGTATAATGTTTACACATTTTGTATTTTATTTAAAGTAATGACCAGACCTTGGTAAACTATATAGATTTACAAATCTATTGAGTAAGGTACATCCAGTCTCTGTGATCTAAGTAGCCTGAATAATATGCTTTTTAAGTTAATCAGACTATATAATATGGAAAATGTGTATCATCGACTGACTGATTGACTTAAGACAGTTATATATATATATATATATATATATATATATATATATATATATATATGAATAAGTAATATGACCTATATATCATATTATGTATACTATTGATTTGATTTACACGTGAGTCGTCGAGGTTAATGTTATGCAGAGCATCAAATTAAATGAATATTGTGATATTAACCGAATACCAAACAGTAATCGTAGAGATAATAGAGTACATTTTAGTGTGTCAGTAGACTTACTTTTTGAACAGAAAATTGTTTGTATGCTGTTAAAATAATTGTTCCAGTTGAAAATATTTTATTTTATTTTATTTAAACACATAAATATTGGTACAAGGAAGCACCAGATACATATGCGCCATACAAATCTCATCCGATTTGCTTGAGGGCTGTGATACTGCCCAGGTGCCCAGACTGAAGCAGGCCAGTTGAAAATAACCTACATAGGATGAAATATTCACTTGAATTACTGCGGAGTAGTAGTAGTAGTAGTTGGTACTCTTGTACTGCTGTCTACTTATATCCATACAAGTAGTATATGGCGATGGTCAGACACAGAATGTATTTTGGCAGAAGACCGATAAGGAAAGAACTGAAATGAAGCTCAAGTGGTAGAAAAATTCATGAGCAATGAAATTAGAAAAAGATGAAGTGATATTTACACAAGGAACAGTGAAGATTGAGACAATTGATTGTTAATTTGCAAATTAACTGTTCATTGTATGGTTATCAGAATTTACTGAGATAGTCTGAGATAGTCTAAATACATTCGATTGTCCCCAACTAGTGTTTTGTTCACTCTATCCGTCAATTAGTCCAATCAGATATCGATTTTTACAGTTTCATTTTTTTCTAGTCTATTCAGCTATAAAACATCGTAGTTACGATTTGTTGATAATGAAGTTTATAAATCAAACATCTAATAACAAGCAAACATTTTTATTATCATTGTCTTATTTTTAGCTAGCTGCTCCAATATTCGAAAATTTACCAAAAGAATACCTTGAACCTAACGAAATATCTGCCTGTGAAGAATCTATAGTGAACATTGTAAACTCTATTAAACAGCACGTTTGCCTGTCCGATTCTAGAAAGAACTCTTCCAAACGGTAAGCTTTTAAAACTCATAGAATTAACCTTTCGTTAGTGAGTTTATTTATGAATCTGTAATAATTTATCTTACTTAGACTGATGTGATAGAAAATACTTGCAGCTCAAAATGAGAATTTTGAAGGTTATATGTTCACCAATCTGATTGGTTTACCCTTAGTTAGATAATTTTTAAATTTTTAAATACAATGTAATGTGACTGATTTATCAAGTTCAAGACACATTGTTTCTATGATGAATAATGATACTAACCAGCTGTCCAAACCAAAGTATATGTAACGAGATTTGAATCTTCAATTAATTTTTTAAAAATCAAATGTTTTAACTATTAAGTCACTGCTTTTCTTCGAAATGTAATGAAATAACTATTATTAACTATAACTCAACATAATCTTTAGAAATGAAGGATTTGAAAACACCAAGTTGGTAGGAACATATATATATAACTGATAGGAATAAAAAGTAATGACATTTTTCACTTTTAATGCAATAAATTAAATAGCTATTCATCACATAAGTGTGTGGTAGTTGATATTCGATATTATCCCCAAACTTCGTATATTGTTCGTCCTGATAACCGTTACTCGATAACGTCCCCAACGGTGTATAAATCAGAAGGCGAATACGAAAGGTTGATTGCGTTTATTATTGGACTACACACAGATATCCAAAATTACAGGCACGTTAAACAAGCATGAAAGAGCAGTGCCGTAAAGCAGGCGAGTGAGCGAGAGATCGATTAATCGAGTCAGCGAGTAAGCAAGTACAGTGCAGTGCAGTCAGCAGGATTAAGATGTACATATATATACAAATGGAAAAAGCATGAATCACGAATCAGTTAAGTGGTTAATAGTTAAAAGCTAGCAGAATGAATACATGCGTAGGCAGTAAGCAATGCTCAAGCGTACATAATAAAGGTACAGTAGTATAGATAGGTTGTTGTTGTTGTACAAATGACTGTCCGTTAAATAAGTTAACAAAAGGGCTTAACCAAATTAGATGTAAACAAACTCAATTGTATGTGATCTGCTATAAGTGTTATCAGCCACGGTACTGTTGTTACCTTCTCAATAAAATTAGATTGAATGACTACCTTTAAGACAAAAATGAAGCAGTGGAGCTTAAATTTCAGTAAAAATTTCTTATGTCTCTTCTTTCTTGATGAAAAAATATTAAATTCAGATGGCTGACTGTTACAAATGTAAGTATATAAAGGTTAGAAGTACTTATTTCTTTATCTTTTCCACTATTCAATAGAGATCAGCATTTGTATTACTTTACAATAAGTATTGAGAAACTCACATGATAGTACAAGGGTTCAGATGCAATAAAAAAAGTTCATCTTTATGGTTTAAAATAATTTGTATCCTAACACAATTTAGATTCTGAAAGAGATCAATGTCTTTTTCTTTGTATAAAAGAGCTATAGTGTCAATATTATTGATTATTTATTCTCCTTTCATGACTTCATTACATCATTATTTAGTGAATATATAAGAAATGATCTTTTGTTTCCCCCCCCCCAAAAAACCCAACTAATTCTAGAGGATCATCATCTGGAACTTTACCTGTTGCACCTGTACTTCAAGCAGAAGCAATTGTAATGGCAACTGAATTCGATTATATTCTTTCCTTATATAGTGATATATCAACTGAACATGAACAAATTCGAAATTATTGGATACAAACTATAAATTCATCAAAAACGAATGATACATTTAATGGATTAAATCGTTTATCAAATGAAAATGATTTTAATTCATTAAATCTTACAGAAATGATTCGTTTAGCTAAAACAATTGCTTATGATCAAACGAATAATGTTAATTCTACAATTCCTTTAGCACTTATAAAAATTATGAAAAGTTTAACAGTTCTATGTGAACGTCTTCATAAACATACAGATTTTCATGATTCCAAATGTATCACTACGCAAATAAATCAAAAGTATGTATGGTTTATTTAATTTTTATTAGTTTGATACTAGTTTTAAATTTATTTTGTACTATAGTAACTAATTTGGTATATTATTATCAGAAGGGGTTTTATGGAGATTTAGTATTTTCATAGTTGAAAGCGTGAGTCAATTGAAGCTAGACCACCAGGGAAAACCTGGAAACACTGCTTGATGGCCGTTTCATCCTATTGTGGGACTCCTCAGCAGTGCGCATCCACGATCCCGCCTCGCAAGATTCGAACCTAGGACCTGCCAGTCTCGCGCCAGAGCACTTAACCGATGCCGGCTCAGTGGTCTATCGGTTAAGTAATTTGGTATAGTATGAAAATTAAAAACCATATTAGTTAGATATTTGTTTATTGGTATACAAAAAATGTTGACGTATTTTGCAAAAGCCTATCTAAATTACTTTCTGATATGTCTTGCTGATTGAACGCTGTATTCGGATCCTAAGCTATTCTCGTAACCCCTAAGCTAGAACTACACAGCGACTCAAACACGAGAGAAAAGGCGCAAAACATACGAGAAGAACTTTACTTCAAAGGTTCATTTATGTACAGAAAGTATAGGGTTTTTATAGTATTTTAGAAGTCCTTGGGTTTTCCTGAAAATTCTAGAATGCTACTAAGCATATTAGCAGTGTAGTAATCAACCAATCAGAACCTCTACATGTGACTTTTCATTTTCGAGATATTTCTAATCAAACGCTGATTGGATAAAATACTTCTTAATGTTTCCTGAAGTTGTCATGTCTATTGCGAGAAATTTTCAGGATCATCCCAACACTTTCATAGTTGGAGTTCTGATATTGAATGGTTTTTGTTTGGATAGTTAAGTAATATCAGTTGTATGTAAATTTTTACATGATTGGTGGATTGTCAGTGCATAAAAGCTACATATATGATGAGTTTAGTGTGAGCCTATACACCGTTTTTGTTAGGTTAATGAAGTTCAGCATAATCGGTCAGTTATAATCAATATACAGCCTGACAGAGATGTGAATGGTCAAGTCGTCATGCCAACTTAGCACTGTAAAATAAAATTAACAAGATGAATAATAAAGTCGCCGAAATAAATGCAGTAACATTGACAATCAGAAAGACTAAATACTGAGAATATAGTTCGAGAAAATAGAGTCTAAAGGTATGTCTGAGGGGGTAATGAAACTCAAAATGTCGAGGAATAGTGGATGTATCTGACCCATTGTGTCAAAATACAAGTAATGTTACCCAACCACTAGTCGCGCGGAACCCAACCAGGCAATTCCTATCTACCAATATGATTTAGATCCATGATAAGTGACTTCGTGAACTGATACTACTCTTCATTTTGATCGTCTTTTGGTTTACTTCTAAACGTTGCACGTCACTAAAATACCAACTACATTTTTCTATCGAAGTATGAAAGCAAATGCCATTTTGTACGTTTTGATTAGTTCAGACGTCAAGCTGACCAGATCTGTATTGCAGTTATAAGTGGCTGATTTTCAGTAATCCACTTGGAACATAATATTGTTTTCTATTTTATAGTACAAATACCATCTCTTAGTTACTGTCGTAATAAAATTATGCACAGGGTAGATACGTGAAAGAATAAATTCGTAGCTTTGAACAATTACTATTTCCTCTTATAGTAAGATCCTTTTTTCCTATTCCCGTTCAGATCTACTTGTAATCCAGTGCAATCGTCTAAGATGATGGTAATAGTTGAACCTGGTAAGATTTCTATTTTAACCTGTATGACAATAAAATCTTTTTTACTCAGAAATTTAAAAATGTTAGGAACTTGAGGTAGCAAAAGCTGTAACTTTAGAAAACAATGATTTGCTCAACACCTATGATGATAACAGTTCAGATTTTGAAAAATTCTCATATTGCGATTTAGAACAACATATATAAGCGAACAATATTGTTTTCGAGTAGATCCTCAGTTGTCTGGTAGTGCGCCCAATATAGCTTTCTCCACAGGAGCAGCTGAAATCGTAGATACACATGGATGTGGCATAATCAGGTAACTTGTCCCTCAGTTGAGGAATCACAATAGGTCGGATCGAGTACGATAGACAGGGGTTAACTGCATTAAACGTTTTTCTAAGGCAGCCTGCTTGAATATCTGGGCTACCTGTTCCTGCCATCTGGATATTTCAACAAGTTATCTGTTTTCTTATTTGTTTTAACACAACATCATGCCTATTAGTCTCATAATCTATTAAAGGCGCGTTTATGAAAAGTTTACGACATTTCGCTGTACAAGTTACAAAAGAGCCCAATCAGAGACATCGTAGTTGCTGGCAATATGCATCGAAAAGAATATACATTATTTAGATGTCGATTCCTGGACTGCTAACATCTAACTGGCGACTGCTCAATATTTATCGCAAGGATCGATCGAGAAATAAGAAAAGAATGGCATATCACCATTGAAATGAAGCTTCCAGAAGAGGGGTTTCTTATTAATCTAATCGGAAACAATATTGTTCGCTTGTATATGTTGTTCTAGATAACAGTTCAATTTCATCCCGTAAATTGTGATTATTTTCTTCTGAATAACAGCTGTTTAGAAGTATCCATCCTTTACAACCTACAATAAGACCATTCTTAAAAAATAGTTGCAGTGTGTTTATTTCCGATCGATTTAAACACTTATTGGTTAGGTGTTTGGGAGTATCATCATCCTCGGTGACTGATAGTCAGTTACAACATAGGACCAGGCACATATATGCATCGGTCCAAGTTGTCATACCTTGTCAGCACAACAAGATGAACACCGAATTCATAGAAGTAATTAATTTAATGGTGTTAATATACAAAAGAAAGGTTGTATATAAAGATATAGTACAGGAAGGAAGCAATTCTAATCTCTTTATTCTTCACCACCCACCTACGCATGGGGTGTGCTAGTTTATTTGTTTGCCTTTCCTGAAGTACTTTGCTGGATACTTTATGAGGTATTTAAATGGATTAGAAAACTACATTGGATTGATACATGAGATAATCAACTGTTAAACTGAACCGTGTCAGAAAGTCCAAAATCACTGATTAGGTTTTTTGAGCTAATGGTAATCAGTGGTTAGAAAACTCAAATAAAATAACTCTTAATCGATAACAATAACTCAAATGTATTAAATTTTATGTTCCTGTAAATCTTACTAAAATTCTTTTTATTTCATTACAATTTTAGCTGATCGAACAAATTTCATTGACCGTTTAAAATCTGCAAAACGTCGACGTGTACAAATGCAGAAATTAGATTTTGTTGGTGTACTTACTGCAGATTCTAAAGGTTTATGTCAATTGTACAGAGGTTTAAAAGATAAAGAAAAATCCAATGCTTAGTTGTTTTCTGTTTGCTTCATTAAAACAAACAACGTATTTTCAAATTATGCTTTTTGTTTGGATAGAAAAGCTTTCTCCAATCTGTCTAACAGCCGGACGTGAGTGACTGATAAATCATGTTGTTATATGCTAGGAGCTCATGAAATTACTTGTGTGTACTGAAGAACACAGAATAAGTCAGTCACAATGTAGGATGCATTCGACTACTTCACTCCCTATCCTTAGTTCAGGTGTTGACGCAGGCCAGTCCTGGAACAACAACTTGCACTTAGAGGGATTGAAACGTATCCCACACATCCTGGAATTGTTGCTCAGTGCTACCAAAAGACTCAGCATTTTATCAATGTTAAAAACAAAGCAGAAAAAGTTAAGACTTGTAGACCACTCAGGGTTTAGGCTTCTGAATACGAGTTGATAATTTCAAGAAACCCTAGCTTTTTGCCCAAGAGAGAGACATATAGCAGTGAAACAGACCCAGTAAAAAACTAACGTTAAAGTATCCATGACACTTTTAGAGTTCTAAGTAAGTCGTGCCTAAGGTCAAAAACTTTATACGTAATGTGGATGAATAATTTTGTACAAATAAAAAGCAACAGAGAATACAATTATATCAACAAGTTCCTGGAACTGAAAATTATTATTATCTCTTGATGAGACTTTCTAGTAAAATACATTAGGTTTAATGTATCATACTTTTAAACATAGTTTGTAAAGCCAAGATTTCAAACTGAATTTAAGAATATTACTTATTCGATATATTTTCAAAAGGTTGTCTCGATTATTAGGTTTGTACTAAATAGTTGTTCTTCAACTGATCAGTAATTGTGCAAATCATTTTGATCTGTAGATGAAATCTATGTTGAGTTAGTTTTTAAATTGGTTTCGCCTTAGATCATCATTTACATTCGCGTCTGCATAATGTTAGATTTTTAAGTATTTAATGTTTCAAAAAAGAGTTAATGAATTATTTGAAGTTACTGGTTTTACGCAATATAAATATTGACAATTATAGATCGCATCAGAATAAGCCCATCGGCGAGACTATAATTTATGGGCAACCTTCGAACGAATCTTAAGTGACCTTGTGAAATGTTAGCCAATCAGTAAACAGTCAGCATAGGGTAAAAATATATTATACAAAACCAAATAATTAAAGTGGATACACTTCTTTTACATGGTCCAAAAACTTGTCAAGCTTAGAAAAAGGTTCCAAAATCGTAATGCATAAGGTAAAGGAACTCATCCATGTGGCTCCATAGTAGTTGGTCTCTGGAGCCATGACAAGGTCACAAAAACCCTCTCAGCCTCCACCACATAGCTTCAATATTGTTTGTGTGTGCTCCGGTTGTGTAAGTTTGTCATTTTTATTATGGATATGTCCTTACAATACTCATACCACTGAACAGCCAACGCTTCAGTAACATCTGCAACTGTTGCACCCAATGTTACTGGTGCTTTTATTATACAGTTCGCGGCAATTATTATAATATGCCTTAGTTTCAATCTGGATCGGGCGATAAAGGTTCCTATTCTAGCAAACGTCTTCCTTCAACATATATTACATCGAAGGAAAACATCACGGTAGTCTGCAAGCCATTTAATACCCGCGATTACAATTACAGGATCTCCTTAATAGTCTCATTTGTTGTAGCCGCTTAATTGTCACGTCTTCTCTAAATTCCTCTGTGAGTCGACCGAGCATGAACATCAGGTATTGAAGTTGGCGCCGTGATCTTGAAATCCTTCAAACGCTTCTGATTGGCTCGTCCATAAATTATAGTCTCGCCAGCCCATCATTTATAAAATACTTTAAAAACTACCTATCGGTTTAATAAATTTTAGATGAACAAACATTCTTAGTTCTGATTGAGAAACTGTCATTTGTACCATAAGATACAGAAACTTGCCATAAGTCTTTGGATAAACATCGATCTATTCAAAGAGAGCTGACATCATCATACCATCGGAGAAAAGGTGAAACAGTAATTTAATATTGTTTATACAAACCTTTCTTAATATTCATTTTAAATGTCATAATTAGAAATAGTAGTAAAATGCTATATTACTGTTAGAATCAATTTAGTAATGCAATCATTGAAGTTTGCACAATTGAAATCTATATAGGAATCACATAGAAGCAGCAGAAACTTGATTAACAATCAATGTTTAATATAAACTGATAATACAATACTACTTATTATTTCATAACAATACGATGACTGTTTGAAATTCATATTATAATAAATAAAGACTGTACATCTCTTAAATATTATAGAAATTACAAAAAAAAATCGGTAGAAAAAGACTAAAGTTAATCAAATTTAATCGTAGACACTGGTACTACAACTAATATTCGTCCACCATCGGCAATACTGATAACATATGATCCACCAGTTCTTATTGGCATTTTCATACTAATAATTGGGGATAATTTTCCTTGTTCATCATTTCGATTAGTTATTAAGTATAATTCAGATGACTTGGATGATTCAAAATCACCACCAGTAATGCCAAGAGGAACTAATTCTTTTATCCATCGACGTAATAAAGCAGAGAGATGTGAAGAATTTGAACTATTTGGATTTCTCATATTTACAGATGATGGGGGTAAAAGTTGAACTGAACGTTCATATTTAGCAGTCCATGGATTAACAACTCGTAGATAACTCTGAAAACAATGTATATTAGAAACGAGTATATTTTAGTGGTAAAAAAACAGCGGAATTTAACTAACTACCTAAACTGATGTAGATGATAATTTCTATAACCTGTTACTTAATTATTAAATTCATGAATCATTGTGCTTTTAATCGATAACACTCCAACTTCTTAAAGATACATCAAGATGACATAGGCAGATCATATTGTCAAGTAGAGGAAAAGTAAAAATCATGATCTTGTTAAAAAATCACTAATTTCCTTACTAATTAGTAAATTGTAGGCAGTAAAATGTGAACAAGTTGGTTAATCAGAGGACTGGAGTATATATAACAATTGAGGTACCGTGCAAGTACTTTTACGCACTTATTGAAAAATATCGGTTACAGTAGGTATTACGATGTATACATATATATAGTCAGCCACCGAATTGACCTATAAAAGTGACAAGATTAGGGCTGGAAATTGTAGTTATGAATACATAAGATGCATTATTCAGTAAATTATTGTAATAAGTCAGGGCATTTCGTACCTGTATAGACGGCATCACAAAATGAAGCTGATGCATTCAGGTTTTAATGAGATCGAGTACTGTTTAGTTCTGAAGACGTATAATTATGGTTGTCCATTCGTTTGTTTTCTACCGAATTACAAAAATCACCGACGGATTTTATATCGAAATGTCTTGACACAACTAGTTTGATATGGTGGTTAAAGTTGTAAAACATACCACAGAGGTTCGCTTTTAAGAAAATAGATCATGAGCGATTGAAGGAATTTACTAGCATAATAGTATGGATAAAAAGCTGAAATAGAACTATATTTAATACCTAAGTTCTTGTCAAGTGCTGACTTTTTAAAGGCCATTTTTCCGAGGATTAAGGAGTTATCTAGGCTTCGGATTCAAATAGTTCCTCAACTTTCCTCTATTAGAAACCCACAGTTGTTCCATAGACATTCATTCTTCTCAATCAGTCTGTAAAGCTTGATATTTCAATTCGTCGGAACATTCCGCTTTATTTTGTAAATACCAATCATATTTTGTAGTCATGTAGACGTTTACGAGACGATACATTTTGCCTGACAACAACAAATCTGTGACACGATCTTCAAGGTTCATGTTACTGACTAAAGTATCTGTTATCTTAACCATGCAGAGATATATGGTTGAGTACGAAAGGATAAGGATTAGTTAATTATTTCCACGACAAGAGTTCGAACTGTAGAAACATTGGCGCTGTGAGATGATCTTTATCTTCTCAACTAAAGTACTTCGGTTTCATTTTATCGCCTTTCATCGATGGCATTTATTGAGAAGTCCATTGAATGTGAAATGTCGATCGAATTCGGAGATGAATTATTTAAATGTCGACCCGACGATTTAAACTAAACCTTTTTTGGTATGACTTGACATTGATACATTATTTTAAACTATGGAGCTCAATTGTTTGATACCATACACTAACAAGTACAAATGATCGATATAAAAAATAAGGCAAATGAATATGACAACACTTAACTCCTTCTCCAATAAAACCCATTTATTGCATGAATATTTACAAAAATTAAGATAAAATGTTTACTGACCTGATCACCAAAAACCACACGTCCATCAACGGACAGTAATAAACTGGACATGTTGAATGTTGATAAATTCTACAATAAAGATAAGTATAAGTAATATAAATAGAAAGTATTCGACGTTCAGTACAGTAATATTTACAGAGTAAGAGTACATTTTATTAGTCAGTATGATTAACTGTCAAGACGATTTAAAATTTATTGATTACTGGGAGGTGGTCAATGTAATGTGTCAGATCCTTCTCAGTGCAGATCGAATCCTATCGACCAAGTTGAAATGTGACTATTAGTCTAGGTGACTCGACATTGCGTACACTATATTGTGATAAGATGGTGGTTGGAGGTGATCAACAAGAAACACGACCTAGGTTTCGTGCTACTTGGCACTCGTCAGCAAGGTGTACGCATAATCTTGAGGGATAGGAGTTAATCAACGCTGAAAAGGACCTGACATACATGACTTTGATCACCACCCAGTGATCAATCAATTGTAAATAAATCTCAGTCCTACAGGAGGTCAGTCGCGGCCCGGAAAGCCCTGTGGTAACGTCGCTGACTGACACGGGATTGAATAGGTCAGGGAGCATCAGTTCCCTCAAGATTACAGGTAAATCTTGCTGACGAGTCCCAGGTAGCACGGAACCTGCGTGCAGGGTTTCCTGTTGACTACTTCCAACCACCGTCTTATGTCAAGACGATATTGATCCAAACATGTATTTTATTATTATTAATTATTGACGTATGCACTAAGAAAGCAATTTTATTGAACTGTTACACGGATATCATCGACAGCTGATGAAATATTTGTAAAGTTTATTTTGAAGAGAAGAAGAACAGAGATTCGACCGAAATAAAAGAGTTTGATTGTTTCCAAAGAACAGAGGTTTTTCAGTGGGTAAATACGTGTTAAA